AGACAGACAGACAGACAGACAGACAGACAGACAGACAGACAGACAGACAGACAGAGAAGGAGGGGGTGTATTGAATAGACTTAATATGTTTTTGTATATAAATCGCGAATAACTTATGTACTAGTATTATACAACCGCTGTCTGTGATGAAACAGTTAGGCGCTTTGCTGTCGCACGCTGAAGACCTGAGTTCGATTCCCAAGTGGTGAGAACATTTTTATTGAGTATATCGGTCTTTCTGCTGGAATGTTGTGCTAACAAACAGTGTCCGAAGCTTGCCTACTGGATTATCTAAAATGTGTCGATGGGGAAGTAAAAACACCTACATATTTTTAAAAAATGTATTTTACTTTGTCTTGCAGGTGAATTACGTGATGAATGGCGAACGGTACACCTGCTCTGTCCAGGCAACGGCGGGAAGCAATCAGCTGACCATGATGGCGGAAGTTTACGGTAAGATGAGATTATATAAGGGGGAAAATATTAGACAAGAAAAGTTTTGATTATCCAAATTTTCGTCACAAATTAAATGATTCTTTTAGATGTCGGTGCAGATGGTGGCAATTAATACGGACACACAAGATACTGGGGCGATACATACATGTACTCGTATGAGATACATAACAGTTCCAGCAATGTTTCATTTTCTTCTCATGACCTCCCCCATCTCTCTCTCTCTCTCTCTCTCTCTCTCTCTCTCTCTCTCTCTCTCTCTCTCACCCCAAACCAAACATAATCTCTGTACGTCGGTGTAGACTCATTTAGTATTATTTGGTATGCATCATACAGTGGATTGTTCTGTTCAGCTTTTTCTGGGATAATGCTGTTTAAACCTTACATTTCATTTCTAAATCTCAGTATTTTAAAATGTTTTGGTTTATGGGTTCCATTTCAGAGGTAATAACTCTAAAAATAGTGCACTTTACGTGGAAAATTTCGCCGAAAATGTGAATCTTTTCAGCGTAATAATTATAAACAGAAATGCCAGGAAAACGTGATGATTTAAATGTAAAGATTAAGATTAAAGTAATATTGATTCCAATAAAATAGACATTCATAACAATAAGTAAAAAGGTAAAAAGAAGAACATTTAATTAATTATGATTATCAACAATAATAATGATGATATAAAAAAGAAATTTATAGTGATATAACATAATTACAACAGTAAAAACGTTGATTGTGAGAATATTACTACTCCCCATTATTTTCCCAATCCTGTTATTGTAGCTGGTATTCTTTATTATTTGTTTTGTTTTGTTTTTTTAACCAAATTATGATGGGAAAAGAAGAAGAAGAGAAGGAAGAAGAAGAAAAGGGGAAGGAAAAAGAAGAAGAAGAAGAAGAAGAAGAAGAAGAAGAAGAAGAAGAAGAAGAAGAA